ATAAACAAATTCAACTTTTCTATAATAATAGGCCGTCACAGACGTGAGACGTTTTTAGCCGCATCCAGTAGCCTTCTCTAGCCAGTCCGATCAGTGCTTTGTTGTTGATAGATGGCAGTATTGAGTATGTTTATATTCACTCAGAAAAATAAGCTCTAACCACATTCTGGTTAAATTGCCCTACACATTTTGTTAGAGAAATTTTAGCTTATGTCGTAAAGATATGATAAGCAACATGTGGTTCTGACATGAGATTTAGTTAAAATCTGGTTAAATCAATCAAATTATTTTTCTGATTGTTAGTCAGCTGGTTCTTCCACCGAAGATGTAGTCGCCTCTGCCGCATTGTCCTCCAGTGGACACCAAATTAAATACATTTATTTAGCATATTTTCTTTCATTTGCATAAAAAGCCAACTATATTATTGTCGTAATATAACTCATGTAGCTCATAACTCATGTATCATCTAATTCGACACTCATTCTCAACGCTTAAGGGACCCTACATTATCCAAACAATTTACTCTCGAGTGCTTCTAATTTCTATTTATCTCTATTGTTTATTGTCCAAACTTTTGTAGCAGGACAAACATGATAAGGGACTTATTGAGCGTAACTTATATTTCTCGAAAGAAGGCTTTATTTCTTTATTAGAGTACTTAGCTCGAAGTAAAATTTGTTGGCAAAAGTGATTTCTAGTCAAATCTTTAGGCTGAAAGTTATTTTTGGAGTTAACGCTGGCTCCAAAATAAACAAAGTCTTTCACAACTTCGAACTAATAGTTGTCAACAATGACGTAGGTCCCAAGACTCTCAGGAAATTCATTTTACTCTTGAGTGTCTTGGGTGTCTTTACAAAGTACTAGTGACAGAAAGTACTTTGTTTTATTTTTTATTTGTTTAGTTATACTAATCTTATAGAATTACTCAAGCCTGTTTCCATTATCTGATAATTACATTTATGTTGAAATCTTTTATACTTGACATGACCTAAACAAACTATGTATCATCTTTTGAACCATACCATTTCTAGATACCATTTCTAGATATTGAAAATACTTTATATTTTGAATTTGTTTGGGTCAGATTATCATGAGATTTAGTTTTTAACATATTTATATTTAACATATAAATTTTGATACAATTTGTGAACTCACCTAAGTACTAACCTAAGCTACTCAACACAACTATTGAAATTCTGAAACTTTAAAAATAAGCAAATATTAGATACATTGAGAAATATTGATTGATACTTGAACAAGTTTTATAGAAAATGATATTTGAATGTTATAGTTTTTTGAATCCTATATTTAGACACTATATTTCTCTATAGTTATAAAGTACACCTTATCTCGTTTCTTATGGATAACTATGCAGATATTCCGATTTTTTGGGAGCTTTTCTTTTACCTAAATGTGCTCAGTATACTTATGAGTTGTTAGTGTCTTAAACTTGGTTCTGTCCTTTTTCAGTAATTCAACTACAATTGCGTCTTTCCTGCTTCTTCATTCCATTGCGTTCCCAGGGGAACATTGGGCTATGTGTCTTTTCTACTTTTATCATATTTCAGCTTCTTAATAGTATCTTGAGTCTCTTCCACAGTTGAAAGTGGTACTAAATTCTTTGTATACATATCTGTACGTGTGGTCTATTGTCCAAACATGATCCAATTATCATCATTATCATGTGTACATAATTGTGACTTACGTAGAAGTTTGCATTCAGATCTTCCTATCTTTCACCAGCAATCGATTTTCCCAGCATTGATGCCAGGAAGTTGTTGGTGTTAGTTTTGTGATATGTAGTATTGTATATAAATTTAATTTGCTTGGTATGATTTTGGGAGTGGCTCAATAATGATATTAATACTTATGTCATTGGCTTTCGTGGGTAATTTTTTAATTTTTTGTTAAAAATAAAAACAATTTGCTTGCCTATAGATTACCAATTGTGAAACCTCTTATAATGCACTCTTCAAAGGTCATAATTCATAATTATACCAAAACTGAAAGTTCGAAGACATACAACAACAATAAAACAAATCCAAGTAGCAGTTCGGTTATTAATGGATACAACGCCCATTAAAATCTTACAATTGCAATTAAATTATAGAAATTATAATTTAAGGAGGAAGTCGCTAATCAATGAAGTCAAACTTCATTAAAAGAAAGTGAAAAAAAACATAGAAACATGACATTGCATTCAATAATCTGTGCTTTTTTTACACGGAAAAGAAAATAACATTTGCCTTTTATTCCCACATACGCGAGCAGCTGTGAACAGAGTTTTTACCACAAATCGACAATCGAAAAACCCTTTGCATTTATATTGTAAATATGGGTAACGTACCGAAAACTCTGGTTATGAATTATGGTTAAACTGGAGAAAAAAACAGAAGCAATTAGTATTTCTGAAGCCTAACAAACAATAAACAATAAACAATCAACAATAAAACACAAATGACAATAAAAAGACACAAAAACTGTCACTAAGCAGTATAAATGGAAACCAAACATTTTGGGCGTTAGTCCAGAACCATGACTTAGCCCAGCTCTAATGTGTTAAAAATGACACAAATTGCTTCGATAAACATTTTGAACACAAATAGATTCTCAAAGTATCTCGCCGGTAGAAGGTTACAATCGAAACTAACGGTCAACTGTCACATGCTCATATGGACGTTCCTGATAATCGAATAACTTTTTCGGTTAGGTAATTTTTGTTTACATTTAAATTTTATTTTTGTTTACAATATTTTTAAGTATACTTTTTTTTGAGCAAATCGACCCGAAATCCAAACAAAATTTTGTGCTTTATAATTAATTTGGTCAACGACGTGAAACTAATGATATTGCACTTATAATTCGAGTTACATATCATTAATTTCTATTAAGTGCGTATGTGCGGATGTTGGCGGTTTAGTTTTGGTCAATATATGTAAATAGTTGTATGCACCCAAAACCTCAAGCATACTTTAATCTAATAATGTAAAAGTTATTATGGGCTTAGATGAACATTGCATTAATGTTCAGTATACTATTTATTCCATTTAACTTATAAACGCTTGACTCTAGCGGAAGTATCTCAATATATACATATGCAACTAATCTTAATCGATGACTAAAAAATCTATGCAAATTACTTTCACACTTAAAAGAGAAAGTTGAAAAAACGCTAATAAGTCTTGGCTTTACAATCTTAAGGTTTATTACATAGTTTTTTTCAGTGCAGTTGCTATCAGAAATTTAAGTAAAACATGTGAACAACGAGAGTTGTCTCTCTAAAGAAATTTCTGCAAAAATGCGAGAATTTCTAGAATAATTTCTGCACTCTCTTATGAGTGATCACAATACAGAAGAACAAACGTAAGAACCTTGTTTGAGCCTTCTTGCGCTAAGAGGTTAATAGACAGTTGAAACTCAACTAACATATATACTCGTTCCAAAGGATAGAGCAGTTAATGAACATTAACTCATATAGTGTGAAGTGTGTATAGACTCAAAAGAACTGCGATTTTATAACGTGAGTCTGTAAAATATCAGAAAAAAACTGTTGTAATTCACCATTAAAACATAAGATATATTAGCTATTAATAGTTTATATTATGGTATAGTATAGTTCAGGATATAAAAAAAATTCTGCAGTACATATACAACATTGGAATACCAAGCAAATCCAACATAAAAATACTGTCAGGGTTTTAAGGTAAAATACTTAGAATGGAATGGAACTGAGTGTGGGGTGCGATCCGTCTCATCAAAGTATAGAGCAAGAGATTGGAGAGGTCTGTGGAAAAGAGCTTGTACAAGTTTGGCTCGGCTATTGAACTTGCGTCTGTAATTGACACAGTCGCAGAGTTTCTTCCTCTCAAGAATGCGTAAACGTACCATTTGCGCCGAGTTTAGATAGAATTAAATCGGGAACGCGTAGATGAATAGGGGGTGAACAAAGTAATTTGGTCGAAACGTTAAGAAGTTTATGCTTACGCAAAGCATTCTTTAGTTGGATGTGTCGGAAGATGGCATTCTGAACGACTTGGGATATGTGCAGAATGAAGTTATGTTTGGGAATAAACGTAACTCCAAGATATTTAAATTTGTAGACTAATTGGATGGGTGTGGTATAACAGATATGCGATATCTGTTCGGTAGCTGAATAGTCTTAAGCGGTCGTTCCGTCTACCCGTCAGAGTAATTGTCGACATCTTGTTCGCTTGAGTTTGAGTTTCTAGGTGGTGTAGTACCTGGTTAGATTAGCCGGATATTTAGTGAGAATGTCAGAGATTCTGCGTGCGAAATTGGATTTTATATACATCAGACACTCATGGGCATAGCACAATTGCTTGATTGGGAGTGGGAAGTGGGAGTGAGGAAGGAAGGTCTGACGTGTATAGCTGTTAAATCAGAACTAAAACAGAACCATGAGGGATGCCTTCGGCGAAGGGGAAGGTGCACGATAAAGGCTTATTCGATGAGTTATTAAAAAATAAAATAATTCAAAAAAAGTAAAAGCTCGTAAGAATTGTAATCTACAGAAAAAGAAAACGAAACCGATAACATATAATTTTTAATATGTTAAAGAAATAAGTTTTTGTTACATAATAATTGCAATTTTTTTTATTAATTAATTTATTTATTAATTTGTTTTTTTTTCTGGTTTGTTTTATTTAAAATACAAAATTATTTTATAATTATTAGGTGTATTGCTGGCACCTTTTCAGTTCATGCTATAGTAAATGGAAATATTAATATATATATATGAGAGCGTTCGTTTAGCGGAACTTTCAATGAATTGCTATTATACAAAAAAAATTTTTTAATTTTTAATTAATGAATTGTGAATAACTTTGTGTAAAGCGTTAAGCCAAAGTTTACTTCTTTCTCTTTCATAGTAAAT